GAAAGTCCCTTGTGAACGTAGACCTACTTCTTGGTAAGCTAGAAAAAAGTGGGATAGATAGCTTTACCACCAGATGGATTTGTAACTGGCTGACAAACCATACTCAACGAGTAATCCTTAATGGTACTACATCTACATGGAGCGAAGTAAGCAGTGGGGTACAGCAAGGTTCTGTCTTAGGACCAGTACTCTTCAATATCTGCATAAATAACTTGGATGAGGGAATAGAAGGGGAACTTAACCAAATTTGCAGACGATACTAAGATGGCAGGAATAGCTAACACCCTAGAAGATAGGCTCAAAATTCAGATGGATCTTGACAGACTTAAACATATCTAACAAAATGAAATTCAATGTAGAGAAAAGTAAAGTCTTATACTTAGGCAAGAAAAACCAAAAGTACACATATAGATTGGGTGAAACCAGGTTTAAGAGCAGTGACTGTGAGCGGGATCTTAGAGTCTTAGTGGACAACGAGTTAAATATGAGTCAGCAGTGTACAGGGAGATTGGAATTGATGATCTACAAGGTCCCTTCCAACTCTGTTAATCTAATCTAAGGTCAGATCTTGCAGTCTTCTGACCATAGTAGTAGGGCCATGAAGTTACCTGTATGGGACAATTGTTTTCCCTCTGTTGTTCAAGGATCTATTCCAGCCAAGGGCCTAGGCCTTTTCCCCAGGCTGGGAAAAAAATTCTGCAAAGCACCTGAGTCAATTTATAATTTATAATTGATTAATAATTGATTTCCACCCCCTCTTGTTTTGGATAGAAGTGAGTGCAGTTTAGTCAGGGGTGGGCTTCAAAAATTTTAGCAAGAGGTTCTCTACCCACTTGCTCGGTAGGTATGGCCATGGTGGGCATGACCTAGTCGGCCTCCAGCACCAAGGGGGAGCGTTTTTGCCTTCCCTGGGCTCTGGAGGCTTTCCTCGAGCCTCTGGGAGGGCACAAACAGCCTCCCCAGGCTTCGGAGGCCCTCTGGAGGCCGGAAATGGGCCCATTTCCGGCCTTCCTGAACTTCCAGTGGCCTGTTTTTTGCCCTGTCCGCATGCCCTCCACTTACCTGCATTCAAAATGGGCCACATGGGGACTCCTGGGAGGGGCAGGGCAGGATGGGCAGGGCCAGCCAGGAGTGGGATTTAGGGGTTCTCCGAACTGCACAGAATCTTAGCTAGAGGTTCTCCCGAACTCCTGCGAACCCCCAGCAGCCCAGCCCTGAGTTTAGTGACATGGTTTGTGGATGGTTGTGATGCCATCCTGTGTGCAAAGGCAGGTCAAAGGAAGATTGGCTGACGTTTTCTTCCAGCTATGGATTTATGCTTTAAAAAGCAGGCTACGTCTTTCTTGCACGCTTGCTTTGATCAAATAATTAATTAGCCGAAGCTTTGGAAAGATAATTCCTCGCAGGCTTCTCTCAGTTCACATCACTCTGCCTCCCCTCCCCGCCCCCCAAGGATGCCCACCGAGTGAGGTTGATGGGCAATGCTTTAGCTCCCTCTAAGCAATGAGGGACTGTCAGATTCATCTCATTTATATATTTTTTTTAAAAAAAATTAAAAAGAAACACTTCGAGGTACGTTTTTGTACTACAGGTGGTCCCTGACTTACAACAGTTCATTTAGTGACCAGTTGAAGTCACAACGGCACGGAAAAAAGGGGACTGATTGCCGTTTTTCACACTTAGGACCATGTCAGCATCTCCATGGTGACTCCAAGTACTCAATCTTGACAAAAGACTTACCGCATACACAGTCTACAGTAGTGGCCAAAACTGTGGAAACCATTTGGGAAAAGTGTATTTTCTAAAATTAGCTAATAACCCCCCCCCCTTTTTTTTGGAGTAGTATCATAAAATTATATATCAAAGGAAAGATAATTTAATCAAGAATGTAATGCAATTACTTTGATGAAGGATTTGCTCTTAGAATAGCAGTTACAGTATAAAGAAGAAAAGTGAAACGCATAGAAAAAAACGAGGTGCACAAAAATGATCACCATAGAAAAAATAAGATATACAAAATTATCACCATGTCAGTTAATCCTTCGTTGGGCAACCTTTAGCATGGATTACGGCCTTACAACGTCTTCCCAAAGAGTGAACCAAGTCTTTGAGTTCTGCAGCTGTTATCATGTGAAACCAAGATTGACTGATGGCTTCTATTAACTGGGTTTTATTGCTGAGTCGCTTCTGACTAACAAGTTTCTTTAGTCAACTCCACAGATTTTCAATTGGGTGAAGGTCTGGGCTATTCCCAGGCCATTCCAGCAGTGGAATAGGAGTGTTCAGACCAGATCGCCCGATTTGGTAGCAATTGTGGTGAGTAGTTCGGAGAACCGGTAGAGATCCTGGCACGAGGCTCCGCCCACACGCCCGCTTGTCGTTACTTCCTGGTTAAAATGTGTTTTGTACCCTTTGCGCATGCAGGGGGGGTACATGCCAGAACCGGTAGTTAAAAATGCTTTAAAAAAGTAAAAACAAAAGTTCCGACATCGCTCAACTTATCGTTGGAACTTTTTTTTTTTCTTTTTAGTCATTTTTTTTACTACCGGCTCAGGCGAATAGGTAGTTTAAAAAATGCTTTAAAAAAGTAAAAAAAAAAAAAAGGCTCCGAAGACCACAGCTGTGCCGTGTGATCATCGGGGCCTTTTTTTTTCTTTTTTAAAGCATTTTTTTACTACCTATTTGCCTGAGCCAGTAGTAAAAAAATGCTTTTAAAAGGTTAAAAAAAGGCTCTGAGGATCACAACTGTGGCGCACTATCGTCGGAACCATTTTTATATGGGGGAGGGATGGGGTGGGGTCTGCTTTTGCTCCCAGCAGGCTTCCCTATATAGGCTGACTCTATAAACCGCTTAGAGAGGACAGTAAAAGCACTGTAAAGTGGTATATAAGTCTAAATGCTAAATTGGATTTAACGTCCCTATGCCATCTCGCCTTGACTTGTTGATGAAGTACCAGCAAGTATCCAGAAATTCATGCAATACTTTTTTTCCTGGTTTGGGACTTATCTTCAGGGGTGAAATCCAGCAGGTTCTGACAGGTTCTAGAGAACCAGGAGCAGAAATGTTGAGCAGTTCGGAGAACTGGTAAATACCACCTCTGGCTTGCCCCAGAGTGGGGTGGGAATGGAGATTTTGCAATATCCTTACCCCAGGAGTGGGCTGGGAATGGGGATTTTGCTGTATCCTTCCCCTGGAGTGGGGTGGGAATGGAGATTTTGCAGTATCCTTCCCCTGGAGTGGGGTGGGAATGGAGATTTTGGAGTATCCTTTCCCTGGAGTGCGGTGGGAATGGAGATTTTGCAGTATCCTTCCCCCGGGGTGGGGTGGGAATGGAGATTTTGCAGTATCCTTCCCCTGGAGTTGGGTGGGAATGAATTATTTAATAAACAATATTTTAATATTGTGTATCAATTCAGCCATTAAAACGGGGTGTTTCTCAACCTTGGTAAATTGAAGACTTGTAGATTTCAACTTCCGGAAATCTCCAGGCAACCATAAATGATTGTGTCATGCCAACTTCATCCCATGTCACTAAAGGTCACTTGTTTGCAGCTGAAATGCGCATAGGTCCTGGGTGGCAAAAAAAATAATAAAAAAAATAGGGGTTTCAACTTTGGGGAATTGAAGTCCACACATCTTAAAGTTGCTGGGGCCAATAAACCCTGCATTAAACCCTGCAGGATAAATGCAAGCAATTTTGGAATGCAAGTTTTGGCCCAAAGACTCTCAGTTGTAACATTGGAACTGACCTCTGAACAAACCTACATAGGATTGCTCTGTAGCTGACAACCCCATAATTAATCTAAAATTCACTTTCATCCTCCGTTTCCTAAGGGGAAAGCAGAATGCATGTGCAATCCATCGGTGAACAAATGCATGAGGAATTCTCTTAATCTGTGTGTTTGTGTGTGTATGTGTGTATTTCTCCTCCCTGGTTGTAAACCTTTTTTTCAGTTGGTAGAAGAAGTATTTCACCCATAATATGACACGTTGTTTAAAACTATAATTTAGAAAACAAGCAACCAGGGCCAGTTCAAAGGAGTTCACCCGCAAAATATTTGAAGCTTGATAGCTTTGTCTTTTCTTTCACATTTTTAAAAGCCCAACATTATGTGCAGGTAGTGTGTTTTTTTTTTTTTTTTAATCTCTCCATGCCATGTATTTTTCATGAAATATTTTGATAACGAGTTGCATTCAAGTCCTACCTTTCATTTATAAAATAAATTATTCCTGGTTTTATCAGGAAGGAAGGAAGGAAGGAAGGAAGGAAGGAAGGAAGGAAGGAAGGAAGGATCACAGATTGGGGCATATGCTGAATAACATGTGTTATTGTTCTGGAAAAGAGAAAGGAAAAGCAAGATAATTTTATCAGAACAAGAGACTGCTTAAGGCAAGGGAGATAGAATGCAAGGGGGAAAAAAGAGAAGTGACAATACAAGGCTTCATTTTATGTTAGTGTTTCCTTTCTTCCTTTTGTGTCCGTCTGTATCTAGGCTTTCAATTCCCCCCCCCTTTTTTTTCTTTTTCCTTTTTTCCCCATTATAAATTAATTTTGGTTGTTCGCTCTAGCACTGATATACGAGCAGCTCAAGCTGTATGATACTGTGCAACCACATCGACTTTTTCAGCATAAGAACAGCACCCTTCTTTGTGAGTCCCAAGTGTGTGTCTGTGTGTGATACATTGTGTGTTTGTATTTTAATGATCGTTGGGGTGGGGGGAAATAAAACAAGGGGCCGTGGGGTGGACAGAGCAGGTTTGTTAAGGTATCTGCCTTTTGGGGAGGGGAAAAAGCTTGTAGTCGTAGCAGGCCATATCCCATGGAATTAGAGGGGGTTGCAGTGAGATTGTTAACTGTGTCCTGTTGTGTGTGTGGTTTTTTTGTTTGTTTTTTTTAACAATGAGCCTTTTGAAAAAATGTTTGCACTTCTTATTATACAACAGCAAACTATTTTTGAAGTTAAGAGCGATTTGCTTGTAATGCAGGAATCCTCTGGTGTTCTGTTTGTATTTTAGTTTAATAATGGTTGGAAGGGGAAGGGGGAAAAATGTAAAGGAAAATGTGGGCTGTGAGAATATAGCAGTAATTTCAGACGGAAGGCCCAGCAATACATGAACCGCTCAGAGTTTGAGATAAATGCTTGAATTCTTGCGATCCTTGCACCGAATCTTCCATTCCTGGGTATCATTGTTAGCTTCTTCTGTTCTGTACAGGTAACTTTTTTTTTTGGCTGTTGTTTTTTAAGTTTCTGAGTTTTTTCTTAAAATAAAACCCTGGGAAGGAGAGGACAGGAAGGAAATCTTCAAGTCAAAATGTCCAAATTCCTTTTGATTAATATTAAGATATCTTTTCTTTTTGTCCCCTGGGCATCTTACTCCTGTATGGAGAGGAAAGGAACAGAGTTGAAATTTGACCTCAAGGACAAGTTTTCAGCATAAATGATTTCATTTGCAGCCCACATCCTGTTTTATTACATGAAGATTAAGTTTGGGCTGCTAATGAATAATTATTACTCCATAATATAAAGAGGGGAAGGCAGGCTTCAGTGGGGGGACTCTGATTCCAAGGAAGCATATTGCTTATAAGTAAAAGAAGAAGAGGAGGAAGAAGAGGAGGAAGAGGAAGAGGAAGAGGAAGAGGAGGAGGAAGAAGAAGAAGAAGAAGAAGAAGAAGAAGAAGAAGAAGAAGAAGAAGAAGAAGAAGAAAGAAGAAGAAGAAGAAGAAGAAGAAGAAGAAGAAGAAGAAGAAGAAGTAGTAGTAAATATTAGTTTTTTCCTGGGTGACTAATGGTATTTGTTCAGTTAACCTGACAGAATCGCCTCTTGTAATGGATAGGTCTTTGGGCCACTTTTAATCATCTTAAAATGAGAGGAATTTACTTATGTGGGTCTGTTTTGAAGACAGGAGAGAGAGAATGAAAGAGAATCAGAGAGGGAGAGAGAGAGGCGAGAGAATAAAAGAGAATCAGAGAGAGAGAATGAAAGAGAGAATCAGAAAGAGAGAGGGGAGAGAGAGAGAGAGAAATGGACTTTGCAATACCGTGACTTTTATTCCTTAAAGATTCAACTGCAGTGCTTAATCTAATTTTTCACCACAGTTAATGGTCTTTTACAAGCTCCTGCGAAAATGCAAAGGCTGGTGGGAGGAGCTTGAGGGAGGTGATGGGAAATAAAAGGACACACACACACACAGGGAGAAAGAGGGAGAGAGAAGAAGAAATAAAAATACAGACACAAACACAAACACAAACACACACAGAGAGACCCTCACACCTTTTTCAAGCTCTGAAACTCGAGTCCCTCTATTCAGCCCATCACTCGGGTTTTTGTTTGTTTGTTTGTTTGTTTTTTTGGTAGCCTCTCTTAGAACTGCTTGTGTTTTTTAAGGGACCCGCAACAATGATTGAAACAATGATTAATTGCTTCAGTTGGTTGGTGTGCCCGGTCCAGAATTCTTGAGGGCGTTTTGGCCACATCCTAGGACAGAATTCCCAAGGTGTCTCTTCCTGGAGAAGCCAACTTTCTTGTGCCATTCCATCCTTCCTAACCCGGATTTTACCTCTCCTCCTCTCCTCTCTTCTGCTTGCCTCTTCTGCTTTTCCTCCGAATGGGCCATGGCTTTCGGCCCAGTCCAAGGCCTGCCACACACACCCAAGGAAATCTCCAATCTGGCTTGCGGGGGAGGGGGCTGGTTAACCCACGACCTTCTTTCCAGTCCCAGCTGGACACCTAGATTAATTTACTCCAAACCTCAGGCCTGTCATGCAATCTCTCTCTCTCTCTCTCTCTCTCTCTCTCACACACACACACACACACACACTCAAAAAAAAAACCATACATGCATAAAAACTCATGCAAATGTACAGAGGTACACTATAATAATGAACAAAAAGAAATATTTTGGATTAATTTACTCCAAACCTCAGGCCTGTCATGCAATATCTCTCTCTCTCTCTCTCACACACACACACACACACACACTCAAAAAACCATACATGCATAAAAACTCATGCAAATGTACAGAGGTACACTATAATAATGAACAAAAAGAAATATTTTGGACTCCTTTAAACTCACTCTCTCATTCTCTCTTTCTCTCTCTCTCTCTCTCTCACACACACACACACAAAACCATACTTCCATAAAAACTCATGCAACTATAATAATGAACAAAAAGAAATATTTTGGACTCCTTTACTACCCCCCCCCCCCCCTCTTCCCCCCCCTCCTCCCGCTCCCCCTTTTCCCTCCTCCCCCTTTCCCCCTCTCTTTTCCCTCCCCCTCTCTTTGCCACTCTGGGGGGGAGGGTTTAAAACAACCACGCAATTATTTGAATTTGGGTGAGTGGGCAAGAGAGCCTGTCCTGCCTTGGGACCCCTTGGACAAACGAGAAGGAGCCGTGGCTTGAATCCGTGGGAGGCACCGAAAGAGCTTTGATTTGTCCCCGACAGCACCTCCGCTCCTCTCGCTCCCGTACAAGAGAGCAGCGAGTGTACAAGCGCCGAGCTCTGTGTTTGTGTGTGTGTGTAGAAAACCCTTCATGCGCTGGGTGACATTGTGGGGGAATCTTGCTCGGAGGCTGTAGGCGGCTTTCTTTCTCTCTCTCTCTCTCTCTCACACGATTAAAACCGCTCGCTTTTCACCGGCTCGCTTCCTTCCCCCCTCCTTTATTTTTCCTCTGGGGGTTCCCCCCCCCTTCGCTTCGCTTCTCTTTGGAGGGGAAAGAGAAAAAGAGAGAAAAAGAAAAAGAAAGAAAGAAAAACACAATTGTGAGCAAATGGCCTTGACTTGAGAGACGCCCGGCGTGTAAGGCTTTGCACACTCGGGGTGGGGGGGGAGGGAAGGGAGAGCCTCCCACACACCCACACCACCCTCCTCATCCTGATCACTGATCCTCCTAACACCCCCCGCCCCCAAGAAGAGAGTAGCGGGACAAGGGAGCGTGCACGCGTCCGCGCCCTCTCTCTCTCTCTCTCTCTCTCTCTCGCGTGTCTTGGAGGGGGGGGGTGTTCTTTTTGTTTTGATTTTCTCGGCTGGAAGCGGCCCCCCCTTTCCCCTTTCCACTTTGGAGAAAGTGAGCGGTGGCAGTTTTACAGGGGAAGAAGAGCAGGAGAGACAGAGAGAGAAAGAGAGAGACAGAGGGAAAAGGACGCGTCTTTTTCTTCTTTCTTTCTTTCTTTCTTTCTTTCTTTCTTTTTCTTTCTTCTTTTTTCTTCCCCCCCCCCCTTTTTTTTTTGGCGCTGAGGCAGGATTAGCCTCTCTCCTCATGCAAGCCCCCTCACTTGTCGTCCGCCGAGTCGAGAGTGGCAACATGCAACATCCTCTGACAGGGACGACTTGCGTGGCACTTCCGAATGTGGGTATGTGTCCCCAGCTCTCCTGCGCCTTGACTCTGATGTACTTACAGCAGGTAAGTTCTTAAGCAATTGTTTCCCTCTCCCTTCCCTACACCCACACATTCTCTCTCTCTCCCCCTCTCTCTCTCACACTCACGCACACATCTCTGCCTCTCTTGATTTAGCTATCTTCTCTACCCCTTCCCTGTCTTTTCCGCGCCTCTTGGACGGGAATATATGCATATATATATATAGCTTTCTGCCTGAATGAAGTATATAATTGCCACTCTCTCTTGTAGAAACTGCGCCCTTATGCATGTGTGCACGTTAATAAGGAAAGAACCATCATCCCGGGGAGGGCCCGAACTGGAATCTCGTTAGTCCCTTAACGGCGTCTTAAATTGGTGCGGTTTTGGAAAGTTTGAAGGATGATTTTGTTTTTGTTTTTGTTTTTGTTTTTTTGCCTCGGTTTTTTTCCTATGCATTTGTCGTCGTCGTTGTTTTTTTCTGCACGGAATTAATCCAGATGTTGTTGGTTTTTTGCTACTTAAAAGGGTTTTGGCAAGGGACACACACACACACACACACACACACACACACACACACACAAAGGGGGGCGGGTTGATTAAAGGAAAGGAGTTGGGGAAGGGAGGGAAACTTTACCTTACTCCGACAATGCAAGCACCCCGTTCTTCTAACCCAAAGGCGGGCGACGGTTCTTCCGATGCTCCCCCTGAAGTTTGGAATTCTCCGCTTTGCACATTTCGACGAAACCGCCAAACGGTTTTGTCGAGCTCTTTTGTTGAAGGGAGCTGCGGTTGGAGGGCGAGCAAAAGCGAGTCTGTTGAAAGAAGGCAAGAGACGCGGGCCCGCCGTGCAAATTGGAGAAGTTGGTCAGGTTTCCGTGGATGAGTCAATTTTGGTCAACCTTGCGATCTGCCAACCTGGATCTCGGGGAAGCGGGCACTGTTTTGGGGCGGGGGTGAAGGAATGCGGGAGGATTTTTTCCCCCTCCCTCTAAAAATACACGGCTTGAGTTATTTTTTTAAAGCGGCGTCTTCTTTTCTACAAACCTTCTCCGGGTCCTGATGGAGTTTTTTCAGGTCTTGGGGGTGAAACCACAGGAAGAGAGAGAGAGAGAGAGAGAGAGAGAGAGAGAGAGAGAGAGAAAGAAAGAAAAAAGAAAAAAGAAAAGAAAAGAAAAGAAAAGAAAAGAAAAGAAAAGAAAAGAAAAGAAAAGAAAAGAAAAGAAAAGAAAATAGAAGAACTGAAAAGCATCAAAGCAAAGCTTCCAAGCCCGTTTGTTTTGAAAGTAATCCAATTGACTGGCGCTTTCTCTCTAGCCAAGGTGCTGAACCCTTCTCTCTCTCTCTCTGTGCGCCCACAATAGTGCGTGAGCCTTTAAAAAAAAAAACCACACACATTATTATCATAATATCTATTTACAAAAAAATTAAATAAATCGTCATATGTGCTCACTACGACCGTGAAGGGGGAACCCCTAAATTTGCAGAAGCCAGATTAAAATAGATTGTCATGCAAATGTGATTAATTGCATTTCTTCTATGGAGGGTGTCCTCTCCCCCCCCCTTTTTGTGAGTTTTATTATAGCTCAGATTAACCGTAGGGACTGCTACTCTTAGCTACCATATATTAACCCTCAGCTCCTAAGATAGTTTTAGATGACTTCTGTGGCTCTGGGCTGAAGTTTCTTCCTTTGTCCGTCTCTCTTTTATTTATTTATCTTTTAGAGAGGGGAAAGAATTTATTTATTTATTTAGAAAAGCAACCTTCTGATACTTCCTCCCTACCTAGTGGTGGTCTTCTTGTTAAAATAAAATTGAATTGATCACAGATCTCTTTATAGGAGGGCAGTTATAGATTAACTTAGTTTTAAACTTGGCAGCCGAAAAGAAATCAAGTCCAACTCTTGTATGTTTGTCATGCTGAGGATTTTGCTCCTATCCAAGAAACAGATTCAGGATTGAAGGAACTAACTTGAGTGTTTAAAGGCTCGTTTTGACAATCTAGAGACAGCCTCGTGCATCTGGGTGGATTTTGTGTGTCTGAATATCTCTCTTTTTTTACACACACGTGTGTGTCTGTTTCTGTGTGTTCTTTTTTAAGGGCCTTAGTTAAAGGTCTTGATGTTATTGTCACACTTTCTGTGTGCCATCTTTAAAAAAAAGGCTGCTGTGTAGGAAAGATTATTGTGTTTCTGTATGGACATGTGTATGTTTTCTTATGTTAATTTAGAGAGGAAGGAAGGGAAGGGAAGGGAAGGGAAGGGAAGGGAAGGGAAGGAAGGAAGGAAGGAAGGAAGGAAGGAAGGAAGGAAGGAAGGAAGGGAGGGAGGGAGGAAGGAAGGAAGGAAGGAAGGAAGGAAGGAAGGAAGGAAGGAAGGAAGGAAGGAAGGAAGGAAGGAAGGGATTGTTCCTAGTATTTTTTTCCTTTATTTTTTTTTTCATTTAAATGTGAAAGAGATAAACTTTAATCTGGGTGCATAAGCTACATGATCGCCTAATTATGGAGCAAAAAAAGATGAAGAAGGCTGGGGGAGCAATCCCTTCATTTTATACTTGCTTAGAAAGAGTTTATGAAACTGAAGTGCCAGCATAGTAAATTTTCCCACTTTAAGAAAATATACACCGGCCTTGGGTGAACTGCTCACAATTCTTTTAAGGGGTCTTTTAGGACAAAGGGCTAATTTTAGGGTCTTCTCTTCAGCCTGAAACAAAAGACGAGAAGCAGTTTTCATGCAGTTTTATGTTGTCCCTTGAAGACTCTCCCTTCTTTAGCTCTTGGTGTGGATTCCATCTCTTGCAGCAGAAGATTATGTCATTAACCCTTTTTAATCAGCCTGGGATTTTATTTGATTTTTTTAAAAAAGTTATTTTCATGTAAAAGTAGGCAGAGAGAAAAACCAGCAGCTGTAATTAGTAAGATTTTTTTTTTTTGATGTGCCAATGCACAGCCATTAATACAATTATAAACCCATGACTTGGAGATTTCTTCCCACATCTGGTGAATCAGTTCATAAGAGTTGTAGGTGTTTTAAATTTTTATTTACTGCTTTCAGGTCTTGTAGAGGGAGAAGACAAATGGAAGAAGCTGTAAACTGGCCAGAGCATGATCCAAAACAGGGTATATTTATACCCCTTGCCATTTTTTTCCCCCTGGCTGTACATTAGCGCTGAACGAGAGATCTATCAGTCCTGACAATATGACACTCAAGTCATTTCTGTTCACATTAACCGGTTCTTCTTGTTAACCATTCTCTCCACTTCATGTGCTGGTCAGCTCCAAGCTGAGCAAGCTTCCAGATCCAAATTACCTTTCTAGGTTCTCTTATTCAAACATGGGGAAGCTGCCATGTAACAAGGTTTGCTAAAGCATGTTCTGTCAAGAATTTGACGGGGGCTTCTGTGAGAATATGAAGACCACAATAACAACAAAGGGTTACTCCAATGCAGCCATTCTCTCCCTCCCCCTCCCTCCCCCTCCCTCTCCCCCCTCTCCCCCTCTCCCCCTCCCCCTCCCCCTCCCTCCCTCCCTCTCTCTTTAATTCTGGATGAGAGTTTTGGGAATATCTCATTTTGAAAGAGTTTGAAAACCCTTGCCACAGAATAAAGCTAGGATTGGAAGTTTATTGCATCCATTCCCCCCCCCCCCCCCATAATTTTCCTATGCAACCATTGCTAATGTGCCTAGAAAATCTACACTTGCAGCTGGGGAATTCCTACTCTTAAACTGGAAAAGTTTACCATCAATAACTTCCCCCTCCCCATGCCTTTCACAGACTCACTTGGAATAACAATCACCAAAAAACATGAATTAAGCTTTGAAACGGCCAAATTTCCTGCAGAATTGTACTTTCTAGTTGGCACCGGTTTGTTGTTACTAATAAATTTATGAAATCGATTTTTTTTCCCCTTGCAGGAAAAAAATATCAGCATTTTCCCAATCTACTTTACAGCATATAATTTATATAAACCTACTCTAATCTGCTGGTTTACGTCTCCCCGACAGCTGGGCAATTCAATTCCTTTTGAATTCTAGATGCAGAATTATGGGATTTTTAGTCTTGAGCAAGTCTTCTGTCTGTTGGTTAAGTAGATGCAGAACACTTAACGCCATAAATTTGACGTATGCTTTTAAAAAAAATTGATATGGCTTTCACGGATTTAATTTGATTTTGGTGCATGAAACCCCAGAATGCTATTATGATTTTCTTAGACGTGAAGAAACATTTACTGTTCAGATATAAATTTTCTTCCTTTGCCTCTAGAGAATCCATGAGCTAATCTGTCCACTCTGGGAATTGTTTATGTTTCTGATTTTCTTAAAATATTGGTATATCACTTGATGAACAAAACTTGCTAAGTTTATAGATTCTCTATGCGGTCATGGAATTATTTTTAGAGTTCTCCATAAAATTGCTTATTTTTCACACTAAAGACAATCTATATTTTCTTTAGATTATCTAATATGTTCTTGTTGAAGAAGGAAAGCTCCTTGGTTAGACACAGCAATTCAAACAGATGTAGCAGGAGGTCTGACTGGGCTAAACAGTTCAGATCAGATGTCTTTGCTTTAGGCCTTCTTTGGGTTACTGGAAAAAAAAAATCACAAGCAAGCTCTTTATTAAGGAGGCACAGGAAAAGTAAAAAACCTTGTGTGAACTTCCACAAAGAGGAGCTGTTCATAAGCATTTGAGCTGGGTTTTTATTTATTTATTTATTTATTACAAACTTGCCAAATTTAGTACCAAAGCAGAAATGCTTAATCTCAAGAAAGCTTCCCTGATTCCAGTGGGATTTCATTTCAGCTGAACGCATATTGGATTAAAGCAGTGGTCTTTTAGCATGATACCAAAAATATCACTGGGTGCAAAAGATATTTGAAACCGATATTGTCTCTGTAAGAATCTTTAAAGCTTTAAATAGAAACACATTGTGTGATCTATCTATCTATCTATCTATCTATCTATCTATCTATCTATCTATCTATCTATCTATTATCTCTTTTCTCATCTATTACCTGTTTTTGTCTGTCTGTCCGTCCGTCCATCCATCCATCTATCCCTCGTCTGTCTGTCTGTCTGTCTATCTATCTATTCTCATCTATCTATTATCCATTTATGTCTGCTGTCTGTCTATCTATTCTGTCTATCTATCTATCTATCATCTATCTATCATTTATCTACCTATCTATCTCTTTCTCATCTATCTATTATCCATTTATGTCTGTTTGTCTCTGTCTGTCTTTTCTCTATTTTCTTTCTTTCTTTCTATCTATCTATCTATCTATCTATCTATCTATCTATCTATCTATCTATCTTCTATCTATCTATCTATCTATCTATCTATCTATCTATCTATCTATCTATCTATCTATCTATCTATCGTCTTTCATCTATCTATCTTCCTTCCCCAGAGTACCAGGTTTTCCAAAGATCCCATCTCCATAGAATTCCTTACAATAGGCTCCATTTTGATTCATATTTTTAATAGCTCTATGTATGTGGGACTCTACCCTGTTTCCTTCAAGATCTTTTAGATATCCAAGATCTGAGCTGGCTTTATAAAGCAGACCAGAGATATAAGTTTTCAAAAACGGATGGAAGTTAGTTGAGATATTGTGTTTCTTCTATCTATTCTTGTAGTTGGGCAATTCATCTCAACACAGCCAGGAATCTTTAATATATACTATGTAGGTCACCCATTGTTATGCTATGCACCCAATCTTCC